AACTGGTCAAAAAGACTGACAAGCTTCTAATTCAGTCTATCAAATCCATCACTGAATGAACTGACGGAAAGCAATGTAACTTAAAGGAACACTCCACTATTTTTGAAAATAGGCTCATTTTCCAACTCTCCTAGAGTTAAAGAGTTGAGTTTTACCGTTTTCGTTTTTCCTATTTAAAACTTGACTCTTCTGTAGTTACATCGTGTACTAAGACCGACGTAAAATGAAAAGTTGCGATTTTCTAGGCCGATATGGCTAGGAACTATACTCTCATTCCGGCGTAATAATCAAGGAACTTTGTTGCCGTACCATGGGTGCCGCAGGCGCAATGATATTACACAGTGCCTGAAAATAGGCTAACTTCCGTCAACATAACCAACGTGACCACCTGCTTGCACAGGGAGCGTGCTGGGGACTATTTTCAGGCGCTGCGTAATATCATTGCGCCTGCTGCACCCATGGTACGGCAGCACAAACTGTTTAACTCTAGGGGAGTTGGAAAATGTTCCTTTAAGTATTATTTATATACTAATATTTATTCATATTTTCAATTACTTTTTATTTTATAGTAGTTTTCATTTTAATTTTTAAAATTATTTTATTTTTTAATTTTTAGCAATTTTGTTGTGCTTTTCATTTTATTATTTTTTTTATATTTCTGTTAATTTTATTTTTATTTCAGTTTTAATTTGAATAATTTGAGTACTTAAACTTATTTTATCTCAGTAGTTGCAAAGCAACATTTCTAATATTCATTTAGGCTAAGTTTTTCATTTAATATTTACATATTATTTCAGCTTTATTTTAATTATCAAAAAAGATTTGTAATAGTTTCAGTTTTAGTTAACAATAACAACACTGACCACAAGTCATTACTTCCAGTTACAGACTCGTGAACAACAAGTTTGTGAACGTGTGAAATGTTAGGATCATGAGGTTTAAATCAGTGATAAAATGTTTCATTAAGATACTTGAAAACATTTTTTAAATATTAATAATTGGCTAGTATGTAGCTCAAGTACTTTCATATTGGGGGGAAAAAAAATTATACAGAAGTTTAATGACAAGATTTCACAAGAAAGTTGGTTGCCAGCGAGATATTTTAGTCATGCTAAACACTTTACAAACACTTCAAATTCCAAAGCTATTTATGTGAAGCCTCATTAAGTCCTTGTCTGTGGTTTCCTTCCTTAAAAGTTCATGCCTCGGTGGGCCAGTTTCAGACCTGAATAACGTCCACTTTGGTCTGAAAGGATGGGACCGAACACTTTTACCATCATCCTTTAATCTCTCTGAGGACAAACATAATCTTGTTATCACCACATTAACAACGTGACCTTACAGAACATGCTATAGCTCAAAATAACAGCAAGACATGTCTGAGGAAACCATTTCAAGTGACCTCAGAGGCCCATCGGTAATAATCTAATATTAAGACAGAGTCTTAACTTTGATAAAGAATATCTCTTTGGTTTTGAGACTTTAGTCTTTGCAACTTCAGGGATCTTATCTATGCACAATCAGCTTGTAACACTCCAAAGAGAAAGGAAAACTTGAAATCGCATCATATGACCCCTTTAAATATTTAAGATTTAATAATCTAATATTAAAACTTAAAATGTAGGCTGACAACAGTCTTTCTCTGTGATACTGGTTCAGTTTGGTAGCTAGTTTGGCCTAGACTGATGTGACAAATTACAAGGATCTTCATTCTATTTCTTTGCATTAAAAACGTATATTAATTTAGTTTTTGCGGTGGTTGGTTACTGGTATTGACTCTGTTATTGTGACACAGCCTTATCTATTTCAGAGCTGCTGATGACACAGGAAATGAATCAGGAACTCTTGAAGCGTGCCTTGCCCATATTAGTACCAAATTTTTTCAAATGCTCCTGTGTGTTTCTGTGTGAGCGCTCGGTGAAGAGCGTGAAGCGATGATCATTGTAGCCAATCACAGTCATATCTGTTGAGCGCGTGAACGCATTGGCCAATCAGCACTGTTTAAGAATCCGCTCAACAGCGCTCAAATCTTAGCGGGAAATGGACGTTTTTTAAATTTCAGTACCGACTGGTACGTAAGTCGGTACTTTTGACAACACTACTGTCACTTTGTCTCCTCTACTAATTGAAGACTCTGCTCTAACAACAGTCCTGTACAAGAGCTGAGTGATGGGAAAAAAAACAATACCTGACTCATAATGAAATGCTCATCTGTTAGGATGTTGTCCTGTGGTCAGCACATCCTGAACCTGCAGGATCAACTTATAACCTACAGGCCCGAGGCCGGAGACGTGTGGTGCTGAGAAATAGTGAGCCGCTGTTCGCAAATTGTTCCCAAAATCAAATCAGAGTGTCCATAATACAATTCACCCTCTTACGTACTTATGATGCCGCGACAGCTGAGAGAGACTTTGTTCACTTCTATTTTATTTAATAGTCTTTTCCTAAACTTGTCATTTTCTCACATCTTGCAGGATGATAGTTAATCAGTTTACATCAACATGGTCTTGGGTCTCAAAACCAAAGGAGGGATTCTTATTTCAACATTTGAACATGATACATAGTTGATTAAAATAAAACTGAAGTCTAAAATAATATAATTGCAATATATTGGCTAAGCATTCACGTCTGGATTTGCATGCTTGAGAGCATGTTTTGGCCTAAAGGTGTGGTCGCATTAGTGAAATTCTGGCGAAACATTGCAGGCCAAAAAAGGCACATTGTTTATTATAGCATTAGCAATGTATAAAGCACAGCTCACACAGAAGTCACTTTTAAACCAAGCAGATTTTTGTTGCTCAACAAAGCTAATTTGCATGACTAACTTAAACAAAATTCGCAATAACTTTTTCCTGAAACTCCCAACTGCTTGGATTCATATTGTAATAGCTGGATTTTGCCCACAAATTTCGCTGAGCAATGGTAAATGTGGCCATACCTTAAAAGTGGAGTCAGATAGCAATATTACGTAAAGGCAAAAAAAGATCAATTGTAGCAAACATGCTGTTGTAGCAAAAAAAGACCTATATTGTCAATAGCATAGCAATGTAGGAAGCACAGCTCACATGCAAGTAACTTTTTAGTTTTAAACCAAGCAGATGTCTATTGGTCAATGCTGCAAATTTGCATGACATCTGTGTGGGGAACTTTTTCGGCCTCACACGGAACTCCCCAAGGTGTAGATTTCTATTGAAATAACTAGATTTCATCCACAAAATGTTGCAGAGCAACAGTAAACGTGACTGCACTTTAACACTGATAAAAAAAAGCTCATCATACACTCCTAAAACTGACCTGTATTGATCAATGTCCTACAGCACAAAGAGAAACTATTCTTTCAGCTGAAAATAACTGGTTCCAAATCATCTGGTCTAGTATTTAAAACTGTGGTGCCAATATTCAGCATGCATTTGTAAGGTATACAGAACACCACTGTTTAAGATACAGACAAATCATACAATTTATTCTGGTCTCAGAGATTTTAATGCTACCTAGGAACTCCAGTCAAATGCACACACCGCAAACACACAATAAAAACTTTCAAATGCAAACAAACTGCCAAACATAGATTTCCTCGCATAACCGCTCATGTAAAACAGGGACAAAGCCAAGTCACAGTGGTTAAAGATGCTACATGTGCACCAGTTTGCACACCCTGTACTGTCAACAAATCGAAAGTCACATGACTGGATCACTGCTGCTTTATGACGCTTGTAACCAAATTCAGGACCAGACATGCCAACACAAACTGGTTTTCCGATTCATCAATAAACCGCACGTCAACTATTAGTGAAAGCAATTGAAACTGAATACTAGTTGTCAACAAATGAAACGAACATTAACTTTTCAACTTCAAGGTTTTAAGTTAAAACTATACATAGGCTATTTAAAGAAAAATTATGTATATTCAAGGTCCTGTAACTATGGGGTATAACAATATATTGTGTCAGATTATATTAATAATAAAATATATCAATTAATAATATATGACAATATTTAAAATATATATAAAATATTATACAAAATGAATACAAAAACGAAAATCGTGGCTAGCGATTATATAAACTTCACCCAAAAAGGAAAGTTTGGACAGACTTAATTGAAGCTTTTATTGACATACAAACAATGATCAACACTCACACATCTGAGCTTCCATCTTTACTAATTATTATGAATAAATTAAATTATAGCCTATTAAATATATTATTTAATAAAATACAATATTTAAAAAATATATGTTAGCAGAATCATGAATATTTTTATTCTGGTTAATGAACAGTACTTTTTGTTATTTGTTTATCATATATCTAATATTTTTTAAACCTATTTTGGCTTTGTTTAAATTACTGTAAGGGTATCATTTTATGAGAATTTATCAGTATCATGCATTTAAAAAAAAAACATGTATTGTTACATCCCTCAGCAGTGACAGTATTCTTCATGTAAAACTAATATATTATAAGGAATTTAATGATTATCAAAATACCATAATGACAAACTGTCAAACCGATGCATTACAGCACTAAACAAAGTATTACATGTTTGAGAGTAATCAAAATGAGATATATAAACAGAGGTGGTACCGGCATGTAAATTGAGGTAGTAAATTAAAATGTTAAATAAATGTCCTAACGTTAAATGTTAAGAGTGAAGGTGGTCTGATTGAGTCCAGACAGAGACTTCAGTTTCTCCTTTCAGTCCAACTCAGACTGTTACCGAGTAAAAATCTGCTGGCGAAACACTCTCAACCTCTAGTTATGAATTTTCCAAAAATGAAAACAAATGAATAGAGTTTCCTAGTAACATATGTGTGTTTACACCGGATGAAGAAACTGGCTAGCACATCATCTAATTTAGCTAACAGTGCTGACTGTATGATGCTGCCAGCTAATACACACATTTATAGCATTTTAACACGAGCAATTGATGAATATGGCCCATTAACTATTATAAAAACACAAAAAAGAAGAAGAAGAAGCTATTATAAGCCGCTAACTCACCAATGCACTGGCCAACGGGAGTGCTGTACGGATTCCCCAACAAGAACTCCATCTTGATGACAACAATAATCCGCCGACAGCGAGAGGCTGGCGGACAGCGCGCGTAAGCCCCGCCCAGAGCGCTGTTTGATTGGTCTAGACAAACGAAACTTTTAATTGATTGGTCAATACTCCTGTTCATCACGGGACTCAAGTTCCTCTTTAAAAGGCTCTTAACGTGCGAAAACGTATGGAAACGACCTTATAAAAACATAAATTCCAGTTCACATGAATTTATGGGCATGTTTGCTTTACGCAATTATGTTATTTCATCAACATTTGGTGCATATTGTGCACGTGAAATATTATCGTATTTCTAACAAATCCACAAATTTGCTTTTAGGTCCATGAAGGATCTTACAAATGTAAATAAAATCTTACTCGAAAAATATCGCTAACAGTTAACGTTATATGGTTCATTATAGCTAACTAACTAACTAAATAAGCGAAACAAGTGATACATTGATGCCACAGAAAGTTTCTACTATCATATCAAATAATTAAAATCAGGTTCAATTAAAAAAAAAAAAAAACGAAAACGAAAAGTAACGAAATTCTATTTTAATTATTTTAGCCCGCCTCAGCTACTGAAATCTCCGGAAGTTGCAAGCGGTAGTCAGCGGTTGCTAAGCAACAGCGTTGGCGTCCAGCAGACGTGTGCTTGTTCCAGGCAGGTCTGTTATCAACTGAGAGTTTATTACCAAATATGAGCTTTTAATACAGAAAAAATATATAATACCTTTGAAATGATGACTGATACAATGTTTTGACATATTTTATGGTGACAGGTCTCCAAAATAAGCAATTGCTTTATATGCACTAGATACTGCGTAATTGCCCTTCTGATCTCCGTGGGCCATGTGTGTCTGCAGGTTATAAACGGCTCCAGTCACCAGAAGCAGTGGAAAATGAACTGGCAACAGGATGAACCTAAAGTAATAGATGAGGAGATGCTAAAACAAGCAATTGAGGAACAGGGACCTCAGGGACAAGCTGGAGATATATCCAAGAAAGAGGGCATAAAAATGGTTTAAAAGTCATTCATTAAAAAAAAAGAAGAATTCAAATATACAAACGCAATGTTGCTCATTTTATAAACGTAATCAGCTTTGAGAATGTCGCAAATGCACTGAAATAGGTTATGATGGAAAGTCGGGTAGAAAACAAAAGTGATGCATTTGACCATTTCTCAAACAAGAACTAACTGGCCTGAAGGTGTGATTTAAAAATAAAAAACAGGTTAAAAAAAAAAAAAAAAAAAACGAAAACTAAAAGTAACGAAATTCTATTTTAATTATTTTAGCCCGCCTCAAAGCTACTGAAATCTCCGGAAGTTGCAAGCGGTAGTCTGCGGTTGCTAAGCAACAGCGTTGGCGTCCAGCAGACGTGTGCTTGTTCCAGGCAGGTCTGTTATCAACTGAGAGTTTATTACCAAATATGAGCTTTTAATACAGAAAAAATATATAATACCTTTGAAATGATGACTGATACAATGTTTTGACATATTTTATGGTGACAGGTCTCCAAAATAAGCAATTGCTTTATATGCACTAGATACTGCGTAATTGCCCTTCTGATCTCCGTAGGCCATGTGTGTCTGCAGGTTATAAACGGCTCCAGTCACCAGAAGCAGTGGAAAATGAACTGGCAACAGGATGAACCTAAAGTAATAGATGAGGAGATGCTAAAACAAGCAATTGAGGAACAGGGACCTCAGGGACAAGCTGGAGATATATCCAAGAAAGAGGGCATCCAGTATGAAGACGTGCTACAGCTAAGACTAGACTACAGGAGTATGAACATCACTGATCATTTCACACCTAAACTGTATCATTTTATTAAACTAATTCAGTTAATGTTTAATATAAATTTGTGGATATTTATTTATTTATTTTTTAAGCATATTTTACCCCAAAATCAAGAGAATATATATATATATATATATATATAAATTTTCACATTTCATTAATGAGAATTGCATGAGAAAATGGTACAAAAATATGGGTCTTTTCATAATATAATTATATTGATGTTTTTTTGTAGACATCCTGAAGATTTACCACCTGTGGCATTTCACCTCTTTAAAAAAACTTCAGCTGGATAATAATGTTATTGAGAGGATTGAAGGATTAGAAAACCTCACTAATTTGGTCTGGCTTGGTGAGTTCAGGTTGTCTTATTGATGTCAAAACAGATGCGGACACTAATAATCTGTAACTCCTGTATTCCTCAGATCTGTCATTTAATAATATTGAAGTGATTGAAGGACTGGACTCTCTTGTGAAACTTCAGGACCTGAGTTTATTCAACAACCGCATTTCTGTCATTGAAAACCTGGACGCGCTGCAAGACCTGCACGTCCTCTCTTTTGGAAACAATGCAATTGCTCAACTTGAAAATGTAAGCCAACTGTATTTTAAATGATACGTTTGTGTGATAAAGCGTTTCATTGTATGCAGCTATCCACTTATCCAATTAATTTAATTAATCCATGAACGTCACTCAAACATAAAGCTGAAGAAACTCATATCCAATCCCGCAGGTGTTATACCTAAGAAAGTTTAAGAATTTACGCACTCTCAATCTTGCGGGAAACCCCATCTGTGAGGAAGAGAGGTACAAGACATTTGTGACAGCGTATCTTCCAGACTTAGTTTATCTGGACTACAGACTGCTGGATGAACAAACGGTAAGGAAGACATTAATTAGTCATTTCTAATTTTTTGACTGCTTTATAAGACCTGCATATTATTGTGGTTGTTTGGCTTAATTTTGCGGCTGTATGGATATCTCTCGTGAAAAGGAAGCACACTAGCATACTTTTACAAGAGTACTTGTTAACTTTAAAATAACATACTTAAGTTTGAACTGAATGTAATGTAAATACTTTTTAATTACACATTTGTAATGAAGTTGTAATTTATTTAAAATGTTAACTTAAGTTTAATATAAAATAACACACTGCAGTTCAAATTCTAATCAAGTACTTTAGTAGTCAAAACATCAAAATAAGTGTACTTCTGTAAGTCATGAAGGTGTACTCTCTGTGAGTACAATGGCAACAGTAATGTACAGTATGTGGAAAATAATGTGGTTTTTTTTACCTTAAACCGCATAAACACATTTCATTACACCAAATACACAAAATAATGTTCTTTTTAGCAACATCATATGACCCCTTTAATATTTTATCTGCAAGTACAGTTTTGAAGTACACTAGAAGTACACATTCAGTACAATTAAGCACAAGGGACAGATAACATTTGTCCTAATGTTGCTCTTTTATTCTTATTATATTTTAGTTCTGTTTATAATGAATATGTGTTACATGTATTTACATATATAGCGTGAAACTGCCAATACAAAGTATAAGTATGCAATTGAGGGAATGCAACAAAATGAGCTGCAGAAGCAGCAGGCAATGGAGGCTCAGAAGATCAGCAACGAGGAGCTTCAGCTGCACAAGGTGACCACCATTACCATTTAGATAAAGGATTCTAGGATTCATAATTCAGATTTACACATTTACTGTAATGAAGTCCCTCTTACTTTTTTCTACCGGACTAGCCTAGGTAATATATACTCTTCACACTGGTGAATAAATATTGCTTCCTTCTTTTACAGGATGCATTCGTGGAGTTCTTGAATGGACCTCAGCTCTTTAACAGCATGTTTGATGAAGATCCTGATGGGGAGAAACTGGCTCTCCTCCCTGGAATGGAAGCATTGCTTGAGTCATATCCTTGTCAGGAATGCCAAATACAATAGAACTGCTATTAAAAATACTGAAAGGCCTCAAAACAATCCATTTACCTTGACAATCCATGTACATTTAAGAGCAAAATGGAGGCACTGTGTGTGCAGATATTTGATGCGGGTTTGACTCAGCATGCTCAGAGAACGGCTGAGGTGGAATCCTTTTTTACCTGTTCCCGTGAGGCAGTTGCTGACAATCGGCAGAAAGCAGCACAAATAGCAGCTGACTTTGAAAGCTCCAGGAGGCAGGTTAGTTTCTTCTCCCTCAGGCAAGCTGGGAAAATGATACAAGCAAATTCTCACCAGCTGGACACAACAAAATGCTCACAAATGAAATTCCATTCTATTGCAGAAAATAGTGGAGATGCACCAGATCACAGATGTCGAGCTACTTGAAGACCACATCAGTTCCTGCCAGGAGCAGGCCAACCAGCTCTCTGAAACCCTCATGAGTCTGGAACTGCAGCTGGTGGACCAACTGGAGGTCAGAATAAAAAACCTATAGACATACAGTATATTGTCACAGGAATTGTTGACCCAAAAATGTAAACATTTAGTAAAAATGTACTCACCCTCAGGCCATCCAAGATGTAGATGAGTTTGTTTCTTCATTTGAACAGATTTGGAGAAATGTAGCATTACATCACTTGCTCAACAATGGAGTGAATGGGTGCCGTCAGAATGAGTTCAAACAGCTGATAAAAACATCACAATAATCCACAAGTAATTCACACCACTCCAGTCCATCAACTGATGCCTTGTGAAGCGAGAAGCTGCATGTTTGTTTGGACTGTTTTTGCTCGTAAACAGTGCTTGATGTGTGCATATTTCTCTCCTGATTCAGACGAGATGACTTTCATTGGAGAAAGCAATATTATGGATAGAGGACTTCTTAATTGATTTATTTATTACAGACATGCATCTTCACAAGATGTTAATTGATGGACTGGAGTGGTGTGGATTATTTGTGGATTATTGTGATGTTTTATCAGCTGTTTGGAATCTCATTCTGACGGCACCCATTCACTGTAGAGCATCCACTGGTGAGAAAGTGATGTTACGCTAAATTTCTCCAAATCTTGTAAAGAAACAAACTCATCTACATCTGGATCTGGATGGCCTGAGGGTGAGTATATATATATATTTTTTAGCAAATTTTAATTTTTGAGAGAAATATTCCTTTAATGTATTATTATATATATGGACCATATCGTAACACAATAACCGAATAGAAGTTTCACAAATCTGCTTTTTTTAAGGACATCTTCAAAGACTTTGAGAGGAACATCTCAGACATGGTTGGAGGGTTTATTGAATATGTGCAAGGGATATATCCTTTTGTCAACAAATCCTAAACACACACACACACAAATACATTTATTCAAAAATAGTTCTTTGACTCTGGCACACATTTGCACAGTGCCGAGACCTGGAGAACCAGCACCATGAACAACAGCTTGAGATTGCCTTGGCAACACTGGAGAAGGTGGTCAAAAATGAGCTAGAGGAGGAAATACCTGATGATATGGCCATGGTCAGTGGAAAACAGTCTTGATCGCTTAACGTAGAAGCAAAAAATCCATTATAATTAATGAAGAAGATGTCATGGTAATTATTTATGTCCCAGACACATATTTTTAGTATTGATTGCTGTTTTGTCCTCATTTCTTATGCTGCTATGTAGCTGTTGGTAGATAAAGACACAGTGACCAATGCAGTCAGTGCTTCCCATGACACCCACCTGCTGAAGATTGATAACAGGGAGGATGAGCTACTGACGCGGATCAACAACTGGATGAGCGGACTGCTGAAATCAGTATGTGATAATGAACACGCTTCCTGTGCTTTTAGACATTAACAATAATATTATATTATATTATATTATATTACTCTTTTATTTAATTTTTTTATTTTTGTCATAGTGTAGCCTACCATGCAGTTGTCCAGGATCACATTTCCTGTGCCTGAACTTTAGACTAATTAACAATTTTATTTATTTATTTAAATATTGTATATTATACTAATTTATCAATTATATATTAAGTATTATTATTATATTATATTATATTGTTTTGTCACAGTGCAGCCTACCACGCAGCTGTCCTCACAAAGATTTTTTATTATTAAATAAAATGTAAATGTTGGAATCTTTTTGTTTGTGTTAATAGATACATGATGAAGAAGTGAAGAGGAATCGCAAGCGCATCTCAGAGATCCGAAACTACGTTAGTTACGTGAAGGATGAGCTGGAGGACATGCGATTGTCTGAGCACCATTAAAATGTTTCTCAAGTCAGATTCATAAAAAAAATAACTGTAAACTAATTTAGCTATGTTTGTTGTTAGTAAACAAGTATGCAGCTGTATTATTTTATTAAATACAGAGATGCATTAGTTTTAAAGTTTTTTTTGTGTTTTATGCAATGCTGCCATCTACAGGGAAGTACCAGTGTTACAGCAATTCCATTTGTTGACTGTAAGAGAGAGCTGTACATAAAAGGGCATTTCTCAAATGCGGTGTAGGCAGTTATATATATATATAAATTTAGCATTACAATTACACATATCTAAATTTACTAAAGTTCCCATAGCTAACACAATCCTTTCTGCGAAAAATGTGTTTCATGTACTTTATCACAATATCACACATTAAAAAATATCATAATACCAACAAGAATGGTACTGTTTATATATTTATACAAACTGACGACAGTTAAACATGTTTAACTGGCAAATTCGTTGTTTAGAAACAGCTGTCACATCTTCAACATTAACGACTCCCAATATTTCTACAGTAACGCTTCCATCAAGTAGAACTACAAATCCCTTCATGCTTTTCCCAACGCAGCCAATGAGCATTCAGCGTCATTGTTACTCGACGTCCGTCATCCAATCAGTTACCAGCATGCTGGGTCACATGACTCGCCGTTGAGCGCCCTCATTCTGCAGTGAAGGGGACGTAACCGCGCGTCCTGCGGGAGAAACTCCGAAACTTACGCATCGCGCTGTCAGTGTCGCGTTTTCTCCCGTTCCAGCGCGTCATATAAGCGCTGCTCGGCCGCTTGAGCTCGGGGAGAGCCCCGCGGAAGCGATCGATCATGCCGGTCCGTACTGACTGCTGTCAGGGCTCGCCGCTGGCCTGCTTGGCCTCGGCCTCTCTCGTTCCGCCCCCGCCGATCAATACCCAGCAGCCCGGCGTCAACACCTCTCTGCTCTACAGCGGCTCCCAGTTCCGCGGCTACCAGAAGAGCAAAGGAAACTCCTATGATGTCGAGGTGGTTCTGCAGGTAAACATGTATGCTTAGCAACGAGTGAGCTCCCTAGCTAGGCAGCATTCTGGATTTCAACGCACCTACGAATCCAAATGACTGTGCTTGTCCAGAACTGCTGTCTAGGTAGAGTTCACGGTGACTGCGAAGCTCTAAAATGTTGTTTGTTTGTTTGTTTGTAAGTAGGCAGTCTACTAGGTAGTTTTGTGTCCAGAAGTGCTGTCTAAGTAGTTTACATACAGTGGTGGGCAAAATTAATAGAACACTAGTATTTTCACCAGCTAAAAAAATGGTTTTATGTCAGTTATTTCTATCTTTTGCTGTAGTGTGTCAGTAGGAAATATCAGTTTACATTTCCAAACATTCGTTTTGCCATTAATTGTAATGGAATTATTCATTGCAATAATTGAAATGGAAACTGATATTTCCTACTGACACACTACAGCAAAAGAAAAGAAACCATTTTTAGCTGGTGAAAATACTAGTGTTCTAATAATTTTGCATGTGTAATATTTATGTGTGAAACACATTTCCATTTCTAATATTTTATGTCGGTGAATCTGCAGTTACAGTCAGTATGGATCAGTTACCCATTTTTGCCAATTTGAGTGTCATAACTTCATGTTTGAGACCAGGTTAGCACTTTCTAATAGTTTTATTGAATGTTACTGCACTGACCCACATTTGCAGTTCTGTTCATCCTTGATTTTATTAAAAAACCTTTGCTTTGGACCCACAGCACGTGACCATGGAGGACTCGTACCTGTGTGGATACCTCAAGATCAAAGGTCTGACAGAGGTGAGACCGACTCGTGGTCAGTGTGACTGCATAATCATACTGTGATCTGTTTACTAAATCTGTAATGTGGTATTTAGTAGCTGGTGATCAGTGTATGACAGGATGTGAGATAAACAAAAGCTACTCTTGTTTGTGTGAGAGTTTCTGCTTTTGTGGTCTTCTGGTTTGACTGCGATACTGGAGCAGTGCACAGTGGGTTTGGACACGGATCTTTAAAGTGCTGCTGTCCTCACACTGATAGTCAGTGATTTCATCAAGATACAGAAGCCTAAATCCACTTTAAACAGCCGAATGCTCTAAGCTTTATTGATCTGCAGCACAGTTATAGTGTGTCAAGGAATAATAAAACCGATATGACAATTGGTATTTTGATATCGGTTGTTTCCCTGAAATTGCATAAAAGCATACTTTTTTTTCCCCAGTCTAGTCATCTATAACTCCAAACAAGCAGATTCAAAATGTTTAAAAGAAAGAAATTAAATTTAGTTAAAAATAATCAAAGAATGGTTGTTATCCATTGTTTTCCCTAAGAATTTCAGAGAAGAATGATATTTAATCATTTTCATGTCGGTTTTCACTAATATTGTGAAATATTTTTTACAATTTAAAATAATTCTTTTCTATTTGAATATGTTTTAAAATGTAATTTATTACATAATTATAAATCAGATTTTTCAGCAAGCATTACTCCTGGTTTGATTCATTTGGTGACTGATTTTGTGCTCAAATAAAAAAAAAATCTTATTATTATCAATGTTGAAAACAGTTGTGCTGCTTAATTTCTATTTTATTTTTTTATTTATTTGAAACAGAAATCTTTTGTAATTTTATAAATGTCTTTACTGTCACTTTTGATCAATTTGCTGAAAGTGTGAATTTATGAAAATAAAATGAATAAAAACATAAAATAAAACAAAAAATCTTTGAACAGTAGAGTATTTTTATTAAAACATTCCAGTATATAAAAATACTACATGAATACTTCAGTAAGCATTTGGTGCAATTAAACCATTAAATCAGAGTTTTGAATTAGTTATTTTAAATGGACACTTTGTACTGATTAATGAAAATTAATTGGACTTAACCAACTTTAATGCTATACTTAAGTTTAAATAAGAAACGCTATTAAAACATCAAAACGTCACGAGACGAGGAAGAATGGCCAAATAAAAAGTGCACTGACAATGATGCGCTATTCATTTGATGTTCATTTGGTTTGATGATCTTTTTCGAGAATAATTATTGTGTCAGAAATGTATATCATATCACAGCAAAGCTGACTGAAGGCAAAGCATTACTCATCCCGCTCTGCTGCTCTCTGTAGGAATATCCCACGCTTAAGGGGGTTTTAGGGTTTTGCCCCTTAGCTGTTATAAATTCACTGTAAACCACGGCTTCACGGGGCTTATTGCTTTATTAAAATATATAAAAATAGAAAATTTTAAATTGTAATAATATTTCACAATATTTCTGTTTTTACTGTATTTTGTAATCAAATAAATCCAGCCTTGGTGAACATAAGCGACTTCTTCCAGAAAAATCTTACTGACCCCAAACATTTGAACGGTAGTACATCCATAGAAGTTAAATAAACATATACAAATCTAGTGAAATTGTGTAAATAAATCAAATGTTGTGTTTGTTTGTTTCAGGAGCATTGTTTTCCCTAAGAATTTCAGAGAAGAATGATATTTAATCATTTTCATGTCGGTTTTCACTAATATTGTGAAATATTTTTTACAATTTAAAATAATTATTTTCTATTTGAATATGTTTTAAAATGTAATTTATTACATAATTATAAATCAGATTTTTCAGCAAGCATTACTCCTGGTTTGATTCATTTGGTGACTGATTTTGTGCTCAAATAAAAAAAAAATCTTATTATTATCAATGTTGAAAACAGTTGTGCTGCTTAATTTCTATTTTATTTTTTTATTTATTTGAAACAGAAATCTTTTGTAATTTTATAAATGTCTTTACTGTCACTTTTGATCAATTTGCTGAAAGTGTGAATTTATGAAAATAAAATGAATAAAAACATAAAATAAAACAAAAAATCTTTGAACAGTAGAGTATTTTTATTAAAACATTCCAGTATATAAAAATACTACATGAATACTTCAGTAAGCATTTGGTGCAATTAAACCATTAAATCAGAGTTTTGAATTAGTTATTTTAAATGGACACTTTGTACTGATTAATGAAAATTAATTGGACTTAACCAACTTTAATGCTATACTTAAGTTTAAATAAGAAACGCTATTAAAACATCAAAACGTCACGAGACGAGGAAGAATGGCCAAATAAAAAGTGCACTGACAATGATGCGCTATTCATTTGATGTTCATTTGGTTTGATGATCTTTTTCGAGAATAATTATTGTGTCAGAAATGTATATCATATCACAGCAAAGCTGACTGAAGGCAAAGCATTACTCATCCCGCTCTGCTGCTCTCTGTAGGAATATCCCACGCTTACTACATTCTTTGCTGGGGAGATCATAAGCAAGAAACGGCCTTTTTTAACCAGGAAATGGGACGCGGTATTGATCTGCAGCACAGTTATAGTGTGTCAAGGAATAATAAAACCGATATGACAATTGGTATTTTGATATCGGTTGTTTCCCTGAAATTGCATAAAAGCATACTTTTTTTTCCCCAGTCTAGTCATCTATAACTCCAAACAAGCAGATTCAAAATGTTTAAAAGAAAGAAATTAAATTTAGTTAAAAATAATCAAAGAATGGTTGTTATCCATTGTTTTCCCTAAGAATTTCAGAGAAGAATGATATTTAATCATTTTCATGTCGGTTTTCACTAATATTGTGAAATATTTTTTACAATTTAAAATAATTATTTTCTATTTGAATATGTTTTAAAATGTAATTTATTACATAATTATAAATCAGATTTTTCAGCAAGCATTACTCCTGGTTTGATTCATTTGGTGACTGATTTTGTGCTCAAATAAAAAAAAAATCTTATTATTATCAATGTTGAAAACAGTTGTGCTGCTTAATTTCTATTTTATTTTTTTATTTATTTGAAACAGAAATCTTTTGTAATTTTATAAATGTCTTTACTGTCACTTTTGATCAATTTGCTGAAAGTGTGAATTTATGAAAATAAAATGAATAAAAACATAAAATAAAACAAAAAATCTTTGAACAGTAGAGTATTTTTATTAAAACATTCCAGTATATAAAAATA